GGAGAATTATATAGATGGCACACAATTGCTCACCTAATGTCTACAAGTCTCGTATCTTCTACCTTCTGTTTAAGTAGCAAGCATCATTTAACATTGCTAAATATTTTTCATTGCTAAAATCCAGTTTGTGGATACCTACTATTTAAAACATCTAGCTCACTAATTGCAAAATCTATAGAAAAGTCCTTACAACATCAAAGACTCACTTGATCCTTGGAGCTGTTATAAATGGAAAACTGTCTCTGTTACAAGCAAATAAGGCACTTAATGCACTCTTTCTAGCTGTGATGCTATTTTTCCTGAGGGTTTTGAAAATGACCTTCCTGTAAGCATCAAGGACTGTAACTTTTCAGATAAAGAAACTTGTTCTTGTTTTAAGTCTATGCCAGGTTCATTCCCCTATAGCCCACAGTTTTCAAAAGCAGAAGAAAAAGTAATCCAGAATTAAAAAAATAAAAACCCCTCTGTTTCCAGAACGAAGTTACCCTGTCAGCTTGCCTTGGGCCTTAGGTGGAGAAGTGGAGATTAAAGAGTCAGTATTCCTTTTCATGTTTCATCTGCCAGTTTTGTGAATGTAGAAAGAGTACTTGTGGCTGCAGCTAAGTATCCGACTGTGGTATTAAGTATGGCATTTTCATCCACATGCAGTAAATTAAAAATATTCTTACAAGTTTATCAGGAAAGAAATTCAGTATCAATACAGTCCCAGTACAGTCATTGATAAAGGTATTTCAAGGAGAAGAGTGAATAGCACAGCAGATGTAACCTCAATATTTTCACCAATTATAAAGAGCCTCTTTGTGAAGCTGTGTGAATATGTAAGATGATCTCATCATTTCCTATTTACTCAATACTTACCTGAATACGCAATATAGTGTAGCTTTTAAATGCATATGCACATGAGTAAAATGTCCTTTTGTAAGAGACTTCGCTAAAAGACTGCTTTTGATACACAATTTCTTCATCTCCTCTTCAAACTGAATTAAGCTACTTCCTTCTTTTAAAACACAACTCACTATTTAGAAGCTTTGGCTTTGATTTCTCAGAACAGCCTTACAGGAAGAAACTATGTTCTTTTTCTTTTTGTAACCATATTTCTGAAGACAAACTTGTACTGATTTATTTTGATTTTTTTAACAGAAATAGGTTCCTGCAAAGAACACTGACTGTTTCTTCTTTTCCCCCCTCCTTCATTCCACTGCTACGAGATTATTTGCTGTGTGCAAAGCTACCAAGGAAAACTGAAATCCCTCTGTTGGGAACTGTGTACACAGCAATATATTCATACTTTGAAAAATAAGTGAGGTGTTTTTTTTTTAGTTCTTAGCATGACATACTGTGCACTCCTTGCATGCTAACCACTGAACTCACATTGAGTAACTAGCTAACACTTCAGCAAATTTTAGTCAAGTTTAGCATCCACCATTTTAGGGAATATATCTGTGCGGTTAACATAAAGCTCACCAGTTTTAAAACACTAACCCCCAGTTAGTCCCTTTGATTAAAGAGTATAGATAGATAGATAGATAGATAGGTAGATAGATAGACAGATACACACACATACATATATAGCATTATATAACCCAGTCCTGCATAATCCCATGTAAATTCAGTCACATGACCCATCCCAACAACGTGGTCAGAAGTCTCACTTTTCACAGTACTCATTGTCTGCCAGACTGGGTACTTCATGTATAATACAAATAGAAATATAAAATTATTTGCATTGCTCAGTGAAGGATTTGTCTGAATATATTCAGGATGTGGACTACAAGGCATTACATTTTCAGAACGTTATGCCAAACTGAAATGTGCGGTCTGTTGCTAGTTACAAAACATAACTTCATAAGCAAAGCTTAGGGTAGCCTAATTAATTCTTTTTCATTTCTTCTCAAAATCAGTAACTTTATTAATGGATTATCTGTATCTGCAAACTGAAGATCCTCAAAATGAAGCTGGGCTGTACTCACTAAGTTATCAATAAACTAGATAGATTTCCCTCCCTGATTTGTCCTTCTAATTGAGTTTTTTCTCAAAATTCTCATCTAAATTCTAAGTTGCAGTTTGGCAATGCCAACAGGTAAAAAATACTGTAAATTAGAAAGCATTTCTAGTTTGTTTCATTTTTTTCTTTCATCACATTGAGAAATTTCTTCTCAAGATATACTACGAGCTTTCAGAACTGACTTGGGGGTGCCTTTTACACTCTCAAAGGACATAAGAACCAGATTTAGCAGCACAGCACAGCTGGCCTGCCAGAGAATCTCTTTACAGAGGGAATTTTTATATTGAATCATGGGACCTCCTTCAGAGCGTGGTCCACAAATCTCTTATATGAAATGTGTTTTAGACAGATGCAGGAAGGAAAATTCTGTGTATCTGGTGATATATCTGAGCTGGCCAAAGAGAGAATGGGAATTTGCAGGTAGATGAACTTCATGGAAAGCTCATTTTTAATACAGTATTTCACACATTATTTGGATGTATAGTAATTTGGGAGCCCAGACTCTGAGTGTAGATGGTTTGTATATAGCTCTGATGCACTGAATTCTCATTCTTGAAAAAGCAAGCACCTTCTCTTTTTCTTAGTTCTGAAATGAGTGCTCTGTTCAACTGGTGACAGACTTTTCCAGTGGTGCAACAATCAATATAGAAGGTACTGAAGGCTGAAGGACTCGTTTAGGATGACCAAAAGAGCTGGAGTCCTTATAGCTATCACTATGTAGAACTGCGGTGTGCTCTTCAGTCACTGGCTACTTGCCCTGGTACCTTGACTTTCAAATGTGTATGTGGGCAATTGTCCTTTGGCACTTATATAGCATGTTAAAACTCCCAAGATAAAAACTGTTCCAACAAAGACAACTGTATATTTAGTAGATAAAAGTACAGATAGATTTTACTAGTTTCTGCACACAACTGTGTGTGTTCGGGATTCCAGAAAGCAGAAAATATCACTCCACACTTTTGTGTGTATCAGTTTTACACTCAGCTGTAAGCAGAGTATTTTGAATGTCCTATTTTACTGAAATAGAAATGTCTAGCATAATCAAAATTTACAGCAATACTTCCCTTATTCTTCATAACTGATAAAGTTGCGCTAACTTATGTGAGATTGTTTTCTAAAGTGGCATACAGCATTGGTTTGACAGAAATGCTCGGTAGGCAGTTGTTCTTATTTTATCTTTATTCTGCTGCATAATAAGGTCTTGAAGCCAATGAATTATCACAGTAGAATATTTAAAGTTTGCAATACAGAACTAAAAATTTAGCAAAAGATGGATATCTGCTAGAAACAAACCTAGTTCACTACAGGTTGCTGAAAAACAACAGGATCCAGATTACAAATATTTGTTTATATTAGAGCTGAACATAACTTATACTTCACATTCACTTTACACTGCACTATTTTACTTGCATTTTTTATTTAGTAGTTGAAAAACTGCAGTGGGGATTGAGGGATTCCTCCAAGGTAAGAAAACATCAGCCTTTGTATGGCTGCCTTTGTTTTTGGCTGCCTATCTTTTTCTGTAGGTATCTGCTGTACATGGATTTAGATATAGATACATTCATATGTATAATTAGGGGTATAGACATTTGGTTAACTTGAAAGCTCCAAAGTGTCATTTGTCACATTTATGGTAGGAACTTTAACTGCCTTAAATACTTATTCTTTTCCAAAGTGACTTTTTTCCTTTCCCTCTACAGAAGGAAAAAAAAAAAAAAGGAATAAAAAAAAGAAAATGTACTTCATGAAACTATTGTATATGAAGCACTTATTAGCCGTAATTAAATGGACAATATGAATTTACTACGTCTTTAGGACTCTGGCTTGTTCTGGTTTAGAGCAAGATGATTAATGCAAATACATATTACTTGAGATAACCATTTAGCAGCTAATTTAGCCAAATTTATTACAGCAGTTAGAGGTTTTTCATTTTAGCAGACGGAGACAAGGACATGACAAAAGCAGAAGGTGTATATGAATGCACACTGCCCTCTAGTGCACAAAGCTTCGTGGGAGTAGTGAGAAGTGCAGGGGAGAGAAAGGGCTTCAATACCAACAGTACTTAGATTTTATGTAGTTTAGGGTTTTTATAAAACCCTGCTGCCCCCTTCCACTGAAAGATTTGCATTTCATCCCCTGACACTGAAGAATCAGATACAAACCAAATCCGTTTCAACTTGGCAATATTTTGGCTGAAGTATTACTTTAAACATAGTATTTTTAAGCTTTCTTGCGGTGAGCATTTAATAGCACTGTTTCACATTACTGATTGCTTTTACTTCTTTCTCTGTTTCTTAGCATATTTCAAACATTGGAGAGAGTTGTCACTCTTTGGCTCTAACCAAGCTATTCTGTGACTCCCTTAGTCCTCCTTCTCAGTCTGTTGGTGGATTTACTTTGCTCTGGTAGAAAGTAAATTCTCCAAAGACTTTCCCCCCACTGACCAGTTCATATGAGAACTGTAAATTCTGTTTGACAAGATCAAAGAAACAGATGTATAAGTTCAGTGGTTGATATCGCCTGCAATAAGGAGAAATGATCAAAGCAGCAGGGGTAGAGTATCTTCCCAAACCTTTCAAATATCCAGAATCTCAAAGAGGTCTACCTAGGAGCTATGAATAAATCACATATAAATTTGCCTCTTTTTTTTTCCTTTTCTTTTTTTACAGTTTGACATTGAGTGCATTGGAAATGTCCACACAGCAATAAGTATTCTGTGAACCATAGAGATTTGTAGGGTTTTTTACTTTTCTTCTTCCACTAGAGTTTCCCAAAGCAGGTAAAATTATACTTTAAAAACTTGTGCAAACATATTGCTAGTTATATTGAACTTCAGATCCAGTGAGTTTGTCATCTCACTGGCATTAAACTTAAAGGAAGCCAAGTATCTTCTGCTTTTACTTGTGCCATTTTGTAAAATGAAGCTCATTTTATCACAGTTCTACCCTACCATGCACTGTATTTTGCTTATGGCTTGTTTGTATTTTCTTGCCAGTGCTGAATAAGGGTCAGTGTGTAACAAAATATTACCGCTGGATGCAGAAGAACGGAGGTTATATCTGGATACAGTCTAGTGCAACCATAGCTGTCAATGCCAAGAATGCAAGTGAGAAGAATATCATCTGGGTCAATTACCTTCTTAGGTAGGTCTTCCAGCCACTTCTCTTGCTTGAACTGCTGTCCCTATGACTTGCCTCTGTTGAAGAAAGTTTTAGGGAAAAAACAATAGCCTATTAAAGAAAGGTAAGAACTTTTCATGTAGTCCACCTCAAAAGCAGTGGCATTTCATTATAGTTATGTAGGCATGTGTCATACCTCAGTATACTGGAATATTCTTGAATGATGCTGCCTTGGTTTTGAAATAAATGTTCCACCATTCTATTGCATGCCTCACTGCCCTGAAATCTACTCAGCCTCAGCACAAAGATAAAAATTATCCACACCAAGTTTCAGTAGTTATGTTAAAATCTGGTGTGAAGTGTTTGGCATTGGTTTATTTGGATGTTAAAAATGCGTGGAAGCAAACTTCTGGTATGATAAAAAAGGGTCTCTCTAAAAGGCATTTGCCAGTTCACTCCAGAGAGAAGAACTTTCTCAAGAGAAAAAGCCTTGAACTGCTGTGTTGTTCCTGTAACCATCAGATAACATTCACACTGAAAAATGTAAAATAGGATTTAAAAATAAAAGCATTTAAAATCATTTTAAACTATTAGAACTATTTTAAACAAAACCAGTAGAAATGTCTTGAATGAAAGGCCCTTCCCTGAGAAATTCGGTTTTACCGAAGTATTTTAAAAGGACTGGTTTCTGAGCTCAAGGGAAAACAAACAGTCACTGAGGGACAGTGAATTATAAACTTGACCTTTCTCATCTGAAAGTACCTTTCAACACATTCTGTATTTTGAAAATGTTCAATAAGACTGGGAGATTGTTTCATTCCAGAGCAGAAAAAAAACCCAAACAAATAAAATTTGAAACCTTGAGATCGTCATGAAATGCAATTGTCATTTTCTGGCCTGTTCTCCTTTTAAGTTGCTTGTCATGGTTTGTTACATTCCCTTTGATGCCATGAGAGTTCAAAGTGATGTCTAGGGGTTAGACTGTGACTTATTATGCCAAGTCCAGCAGGCCCTGAAGAGACTGTGCCTGCCTAAACTTGCATGTTGAAATGCTTTTGATTCCCCTTTTGGGGAAGAGACAGAAGCAACTCCTGAAAGGAGAGCACTGAAGGAGTACTGTAAGAAGTCTTCCACAGCAGTGGAGTTTTCACTGGGGCTTGTATTTCTGGCCTGACATCATTTAGCACAGACTTTTCTGAGTATATCCTTATCCTGCTGCTTCTTTGTCTCTTTTTTGCCAGTGTGAGGCACAGTGCAGCATTTCAAGGGTCCGCTTAAGGCTCACAGTTCTGAACTGGAAGTATAGCTTCACTGCCCCAGTCTAACAGGGCTTCAAAATGTCCAGAAATGTTCTCATATTTCCAGCTGTAAGCTGTAACAGTGGTCCATAAGAATTATGAACAGTTGCCTTTGTCCCCTTTGCCACTTTTCAGACAACAAATGAACCTAGTCCACAAACGTCCCACAAAATAATTTTCTCTACAAGCAGAATATATCTAACAAAAAAAAAGATATTCGTCTTCCCCAGATCTCCTCCCAGAACCCGATTTTTCTGCTGCATTCCATTCACCAGTCTGTTAGAGAAAGATTAACATCTTCACTGAATTTGTATTTTTAATTTAGATTTCTCCTACTACTGGAATCCACAAAAGATCCAAATGTCCAAATAATATTTTAATGACAGATCAAGGCATAATTAGGTCTACTCTTAGCAGGAGTACTGGTCTGTATACATTTCCATGCATTAGAAAGTATGATTCAGCTGTCTCTAAAAGGATAGACTAATTATAGTGACAGGGAGGATTAATGCTGTTCTTGTCTTAACAACTTGTTATTCACAGTGTGAAAGCCCTCAAACATCTTTCGCTTGGAGGGGGCGAATTTGGGGACTGCTCTGGGATGCAACAGAATAAAGTCACTTTGTCAGGACAAAACCATAAAGATGATAATCATAAGATGTCAATGTGAACCGAGTGAACTCAATTTTCGCAGTACACTCCAATAGGCTGTATGTGGGCACGCTCTCACCTTAACAGTGTGTCAGGCACCCCCAGTGCTGTCTCATATTGTTCTATGCAGGACTGCAGATTTTCTGCTTTATCACCATACTGAAATTTGAACTGCATGGAAATGCTCACCTATTCAAAAATTATTGGAAACTTTGTTACTTTTAATATTCCTATGACGCTTATGTCTGGCTGTGTCTGTTCCTCTGCCTTTACATGGATTTAGGAAAGGAACACATTTTAAAATGTACAAACCAAGAAAAGGCATAGGGTTGGAGGCTTGGGGGGTTTTTTCTGTTTCTCTGGTAATGTAGCTTTTTTAGATTGCAGTCATGTTCACTGCTAACAAGTCACAGGTGAGCACCACATGAGCAGAAGAAGATATGATTATAATGGGTGTGTTGACAGTTCTTTATCCCTAACATACGCATCTTAACATGCACATGTGCATCTGTCATATAGTTAGAGTGGTTGCTTTTAGTTTTTTGACAATGTGGATGCAGTGTGCAGTGTTTAAAAAATATTAAACTTTTTTAATCCAGTTTTTGGCCAGATTCTTTGGAGCAGTGGTCACTTATTTTAGTCCTAACTGAGCACTTTCTTAATACCTTTATGTATGGTTTGCTTGATTAAGGTGTGGAAAACTGGAATGTTGAGAAAAACAGGTATTGAAAGGGCTCTGGCAAGGTTGATAGAGAATACTGTTGCAGAGATAACTCTAATAGACATTACAGTGGGAGAGAAACAGATTGAAAAAGTTAAAACACCCTCTCTGTCCTCCCAGGCAGAGTAATGGAATCAAAATCGAGATATTTTCTTGTTGGATGATTACACAGTGTAATTTTACTGCTAGATATCACACAAGCCATGATGTCCCCCTTCAGGAAGAATGCTTTGATAGCTCTAAAACCTCATTAGAGTCAAACGAGGCTTAGTGCCTGGTCAATATAAGTATTTGACAGTAGTATTAAAATAAACCTTCATAAAATTCCTGCTGTGACGCTCTGAGGAGCCAAAAATATATGTTTCTTTGTCTAGTGTGCTATTCTTCCTATTTATGTTCTTTGTTCCTGAACTTTGATATGAAAAGAGGGAAAATCATGAAACTGCAAATCATCCAATTGTGTTTATATTTGCTGTCTCCTCTTCAGTAACCCAGAGTACAAGGACACTCCAATGGATATTGCACAACTTCCCCATCTGCCAGAGAAAACCTCAGAATCCTCAGAGACCTCTGACTCTGAATCGGACTCAAAGGACAACTCAGGTAACACACATGGTGTGCTTTTACATCCACGAAAGGTTCATAACACGAGAGCCACATGGCTGGCTTTCCGGCTCCTTTTACTTCTCAAGTATTGTTGCACTATAACAAAAACAAACAAACAAAAACAACAACAACAACAACAACAAAAAAGTAAAATTAAATTGGAAAACACTAGAAAAATCTTTTAATGAACTCACCATTTTCACAGTATCTCCATTTCCTCAGAATCTTTTTTTTTTTACTCTCTCTATGCATTCTTGCCAAAATAAATCTTGCCAAAATAAATCTTTGACTTCCCAGCTGTGCTTATGAACAGGTATTGTGCCTTATGTGGAGGACTTTGGATTGTGACTGTTGAATATGATTCTGGTTCTTCTCTTTCCAAAGTAAGCCGATATTCTGCAGGGAAGTCTCTACTGTCAATATTTATGACCCTTTTTCCTGTATAAATACATTCCTGAAGAGTCTCACTAGGGGGCAGTAAAGATTGAAAAATTTGAGGGTTTTCTTGGGTTAATGGAGTATATTTAATTATAAGATGTGGGTTCCAGCACTCGTTTTTAAGCTCTCCAAGTCTGAGACTTCAGCTGTTTTTTAAAAGCTGAGTGTACTCTTCAAACTCAATATGTAAATGAGTCCTACAGATGGTACAGTGAATAGATGGTTCACACATTCCATTAGTTTTAATAGTGGTTACCTAGACACAGGTACAGATCATCTGGCCTTCAAAGGAGCATGGTTTCCTGTGGCCCAAGAAGTAAAGATGTTATTCTGCTGGATAGATAGATAGATAGATAGATAGATAGATAGATAGATAGATACATACATACATACATACATACATACATACATACATACATACATACATACATGATTTTTTTTCAGTTGTGTCTATGATAACCAAAAAAAGTCTGGAGAAAGTGCATTGGGGTAATCTAAATCAAGCAAAAGCAAGAAGATCAGACGTTAATGTTCTCTTTCGTCTTTTGCTTTTATTTGTTCTCCTTTGACAGCTTGGTTTCATAGTTTAAGTCAACATGCAGGCTTATTGACCACCATCACTGGGAATCTCTTCACCCATTCCTAGTGCTTTCCTAGCATTCCTAGCACCTTTATGCTGCCTTGTTCTTAAATATGATATGTATGTGCAGAACAGTTTGCATTTCCCGTGAGCACTGGAAGTTTTCCCAAGTGAGAAGGTTAGAAGTACATGTGTATTCATGACTTCTAAGGTTGATGCAGAGCAAGAGAGCATTCCTAAGGTGCACAGATGTCTACATCTCAGAAATAGATGTCTGGAAGTCTTGGAAGACAGCAGAGACAGGGGCTTTTTTGTTAAAAAGGAAATAAATAGAAATGCCAAAGGACTTGAAATTGGAACACCTTGGATGAAACCAACAAGTTCAGTTCAAGCTCTGATAAAATCCCAGGAAAATACTGCGCAACTTTAGACCACCTTACCCTAAGTCCACTCTTCACTAGCTAGAAACCATGGCCTTAAAAGAAAGCATATTCAAAAAAAAAAAAAAAAGGAAGAAAAAATTGTAGGAGAATTTCAGTCCTAGGTGGAACAAAAAGCTGGATGAGACTTAGGGGTTTATGGCAGTTACTTTGCTTCTGTGGCTTTTATTTTTCAAAAGGAAGGCGCTCTCTGCTGCTGCTGACACAAGAAAAAGTCCAGCTAAATGACTTGTGAAGTGCATTGCCCTGAATGCTCAGGCAGCTTTCCTGTCAAACCCACCTTCTCCAGCACTTCTGGGAAATAGTTTGGTATTGACATGGCTCCAAGTGTAACCAGTCTTTAGAGGAAAATTGGCCTTTCTCCTGTACCCTTAAAACAAGAATATTGAAAAGGGTAGTACTTGGCTCTGATGAGTGAAAAACATCTTTTATAAGCCAACAAAAGATTTCTGGCTGGTCTGTAAAAGACGAGGTCTCCTAAAGCCTTTCTTGACCCTTTTGAACATAGTATGATAATGGAGTGTATTCAGTCTCAAAGCTGCTTTGGCTCTCCTAGTCCAGTGAGCTAGAGTGTTTATCTCACCCGTATTAGAATTATAATTAAATGAATTCAGGCAAGAAGAGTGACAGCTTCTCAGTGCTGTAGCTGGGCTATTTTCAATGGTCCTTAGATGATTTGGATCAATCAAGAATTTAATTCACTGGATGAATTTTTTTTCTATATTTTTTTTATTTTTTGCCCTTCAGAAGAATATGAGAAGACAGTCTAGCAACAAAACAAAATTGTTTTAACTGCTTTATTCATTCAAATTTATACACATATGACCTGCTTCTCCTCTCACATGGGAGGAAATCAGCAGTAATTCCACTGAAGCCAGAGACACAATGCCACTTCAAAAGTAGCAGTGGTCAGAGGTAAATGAGATGGGAGGACTAGAATCTTCATTAGTAAATAGTGCTATACCTGGATGCCTGCCCAATGTAGGAGAACATGAATGTGAAAGAACCAGAACATAATGGTGATAATGGTATTGTTCACTGACTCCTCTTTGGATAGCACGGCTACAATAGTGTTGTGCTCCCAGTTGTCAAAATGATCCTTGTCCTGCAAGCAGATTAAAAGGCCGCCCTCAGTCAAGGTGTAGCCATATAGCATAGGCTTTTAGTGCATGAACAGTCCTGAGCCAGAGACATTCATGGTGATCAAAACTCTCCCAACACTACTTTGCAAAAGAGTGTGGCTCTACAGAACAGAACATCATTTGCCAAAAAAAAATTTAAGGAAATCAAATCTCATTGGTAGTTAGAAATCTGGACTTGGATTATAATACTATGTTCCTGTTGTTAATGGTTTGTTTCACTTTCATTTTGCTCCAGAGGACAATGAGAACTCAAAGTCAGATGAGAAAGGAAACCAGTCAGAAAACAGTGAAGACCCTGAATCCGACAGGAAAAAGTCAGGAAATCAGTCAGATAACGAAATGAACTGTAATGATGACGGGAACAGCTCCAGCAACCAGGACAGCAGGGATAGTGATGACAGCTTCGAAAACTCTGACTTCGAGAATCAAAAGGCTCCTGAGGACAGTTTTGGCGCTCTTGGCTCTATGCAGATCAAGGTGGAGCGCTATGTTGAGAGTGAGTCAGACTTGCGGTTGCAGAACTGTGAATCACTGACCTCCGACAGTGCCAAGGACTCAGACAGTGCAGGTGAAGTAAATGCCCAGTCTTCCAGCAAACATCAGAAGAGGAAGAAAAGGAGAAAAAAGCAAAAGGGAGGCAGCATGACCCGGAGAAGGCTGTCAAGCACCTCAAGTCCAAATGGACTTGACTCAGCTTTGGTGGAACAGCCCCAGCTGCTCTCGTCACCAAACAGTGCCTCAGTGCTCAAAATTAAAACAGAAATCTCAGAACCTATAAATTTTGATAATGATAGCAGTATTTGGAATTACCCACCCAACAGGGAAATCTCAAGGAATGAATCACCCTACAGTATGACCAAGCCCCCCAGCTCCGAGCACTTCCCTTCCCCCCAAGCCAGCAGTAGTTTACATGTCTCCATTCCAGACTCCGTTCTCACCCCGCCGGGGACTGAAAATACTGCCAGCCGTAAAACTCAGTTCAGCACCTCATCCAACTCAGCCTTGGCTCCTGTGTCCTCTGACCCTTTGTCACCCCCACTTTCAGCATCTCCAAGGGACAAACATCCAGGAGGTCCCACAACTTCCAACTCTTTGTTGTACACTGGGGATCTGGAAGCCCTTCAGAGGTTACAAGCAGGCAATGTGGTGCTTCCTTTGGTTCACAGGGTAACGGGAACCCTTGCTGCGACCAGCACTGCTGCTCAGAGGGTCTACACCACTGGCACTATTCGGTATGCTCCAGCTGAAGTTACTTTAGCCATGCAGGGCAACCTCCTCCCCAACACCCATGCTGTTAACTTTGTTGATGTTAACAGCCCCAGCTTTGGGCTAGATCCTAAAACACCGATGGAAATGCTCTACCACCATGTTCACCGACTCAATATGTCGGGACCATTTGGAAGTGCTGTGAGCGGGGCCAGTCTGACCCAAATGCCTGCAGGGAATGTGTTCACAACTGCCGAAGGACTTTTTTCCACTCTTCCATTTCCTGTGTACAGCAATGGCATTCACACTACACAGACTCTGGAACGGAAGGAGGATTGAAATATGACCACATACTGTGTTCAGTGTTATACTCTGAGGCATAGACTATGTTTTAATTTAGACCTTTAATTCTAGCACTTTGAATTTGAGCAGGTCAGCTTATTATCTCAATATGATGGTCCCCATTTCATTCCCTTTCTCTTTAACTTGACTTATTCTTTAATGTAAAGATATTTTTTTATTTTTGCCTTCAGAGAGTCGAAGTACCAGTTGCCTGCCATTTTGTCTTCTTCTAAGATGTGTGTTTTTTCCTTTGCATCTTTATTAAGATGCCTTTAATATGTGTATGCCTCTGCCATAGAATACTCAGTGTTGTGGTAAAGAGATTTTAAAGTGACAACCATTGGTTTTACTTCAAAAATGATCTTGATATGATCAAGATTAAAAGAAACAAGCATAAAAATTGTGCCCTGTTTGACTAAGTCAAATGAAAAGGGGGTTTTGTTCCTAATTCCTTTAAATAGGGGATAGTATTTTAGAATTTTATGCAGAGTTTAATTCTCTTTTTATGGTTAAGATTTTCTTACTTGCACATAAAATAATTTGGGTTCTTAAAAAGTTAATTTCTGGCCTGTGACTAGAATGTTAAAAAGTTGGACTAAATGTTAATTACTGAAACTTTAACTTAATTTCTAAAACCATGGTGCTATCATTTATTAATCTGTAATGTCTTCATACAATATGCAGCTTGTGGGCTGGGTTTTTTGGAAAGAATGTGTTCCGTACTGGTTTATAGTGGGGTGCTGCAGTCTCCTTGGTTAGTTAAGACAAAAGCCCTCATTAACATTTGCTGCAGGACTTAAAATTTTTTACCTCCAAACTAACAAGCATAGCCTCACATCAAATTTAAATGGGTCAGGAAGCCTTTTTCAAAAAGTGCTTAAAAAAACACTTTAATTGACGCAAGGAGCAGTTTCTTAGGTGCATATTGGTTTGCTTTATTTTTTTTCTCAGTGTAACTGAGGCTAATTTTACAACGTCAAATAACACCTCAGAGTAAAAAAAAAAAAAAACAGTACTATTTAACATGTTTTGTTTTGTTTTTCATTTAATATTATAGAGGGAAGGTTGTAAATTTTTTTTTCTTTGATTTGGGTATTTTTTGTTGATATTTTCCTTATTTCTAGTATTGAAACCAATATGTTTTAAAACTAAATAATGGGTTAATAAGCTTGAAATAGATAACTACAACTGAAAACTGCACATTAAGTAAAAGAAAAGAAATCTCCTATTTTGTCTTTGTTGCCAGAAATCACAGTGTAGTGTCAAACACTCCAAATGACTGTCAAATATAAATTCTTCTTCCACTCCATCTTTGGCAGCTGTTTGTTAAGGCATCTAATAACAGATGTGAGAACTGTAATGTGTACAATGTGTAAGTGTCCTTGGCTGTCAGTCCCATTGCAGTTTCAATGTGTGTTACTATATGCAGTATATACTAAGCTAATGTAGTTGTTTTGTCCTTTGTCTTCTCTGTGCTTTATCTCTAGTCCGGAGTGGTAAAGTCCCATTCCTGCAGTCCTAGTGAACCAGTGATTCTTGGGGGTTAGTGGTTTTTGTGTGGTGGCCTTCCTCTGTAATGTCACCTTATGCTGCTTCCACTGTCTGTATACATTTTAATTTCTGCTGTTGCTTTGCTGTTGTGTATTCTCAAATCTCTCTCTCCCCCTTCCTCTCTCCCCACCTCCTCCACACTTTTCCCCTCTCTCTTTCTCTTGCTCTCTCGTTTTCTCTTCTTCACTCTCAGAGATAAAAGACTCTTAACTAGCTCAAGGTTAATGGAGCCATTATTCCCACAGAGGAATTCTGGGTATGACTTACTCTTCCAGTGTACCCCACAATGCACTACAGAGTAATGCTCAGATATATTAAGCAAATTGACGCCATATAGCCTCAGTTGTTAACATTCCCAGAGTCCTTGTGCTCGAACTGTAAGCAGAGGGTGCATTTCTTTGGTTTTCTCCAAGGTAGGCTGGTGGAGCAATACGTAGAACAATTACCAGTGAGATATGAAATTCTTTCAAAGGTCGACTGGCATTGTTTAAAAAGGAAGCTGAGCTTTGAATTTTCATATATATTCGCTTATGTGTGCAAAGCTAATGTATTAATTCAGCTGTCCTTTTTGATCACTCACTGCATTGTGTCAGTTTCTGTGGTAGCTTTGAATTTGAGAAGTAGGTCCGAGCCACAGAGGAGTGATAGGGAAAAAGGAATTGGATACCAGAACTTTAATTAATGAGCTTTTAAAGGTTCCATAGGAAGGATTTAAGTAGGTTTAAAAAAGGCAAGAAAGATGCTTGGGAAATTCAAAGTTTAATTTTGGAAGCTCTGCTCTAGCTATGGAACAATCAAAGGAGTGCACCTATCAGCTACAAAGAACAGCTAGACAGCTGTTGTTGTTTTGGGTTTTTTTTATAAATGTTACTGTGTTGTGTCAAAATGATTTCTGGTGATTTAAACTAACAGATAATCACAGCTGCTGTCTAAATCCATAGTGTTTAAAATTACAAAATGAAAAAAAAACTTCATTACCTGTGAAGACTGTGTCTGTGTTTTTAACTATTTCTTGTACAAATATATGAAATCTTTTATGAGGAGACTGGTGCCAAGTAGCTGAAAAATGGGGCAAGGGATTCTGTTCGTATAAATCTTAGCAGTGTTACCAACTCTACAATATAAAAAAAAAAATTAAAATGTTAAAAAGTGACAGCTATGGTACATTTATTTTGTGTTAAGCTAACCGAATCTAACTTCTTGAGTGCCTGGCTTATTTGAAACATTTTTTTCATTGATCATTGATAATGCTGCAAATCAGAAATGTACATACTTCATTTACAAC